CCTTTACGGTAAACTTTTTGTTTGATGCGACTTGCAAGTTGAACCTCGACTTGCAACTGGATCTTTTTGTTTGATGCCACTTGCAAGTCTGACTTTGCAAGTGGGTCCTTTTTGTTTGATGTCACTTGCAAGTCGACCCTCGATGTGCAACTAGGTCCTTTTGTTTGATGTCACTTGCAAGTCGACCCTCGACTTGCATCTGGGTCTTCAGTTTTCGTGCCACAGGCAAGTCGACCCTCGATGTGCAACTAGGTCCTTTTGTTTGATGTCACTTGCAAGTCGACCCTCGACTTGCATCTAGGTCTTCTGTTTTCGTGCCACAGGCAAGTCGAGCCTCGACTTGCAACCGGGTCTTTTTGTTTGATGTCAAAGTCGAGCATCGACTTGCAACTCGGGTCTTTTGTTTGATGCCACTTTGCAAGTCGACCCTTGACTTGTAACTGGGTCTTCTATTTTTTGATGCCAGTTTGCAACTCGACCCTCGACTTGTAACCGGGTTCTTTGTTTTATTCCACTTGCAAGCGGACCCTCGACATGCAACTTGGTCTTTTGTTTGATGCCACTTGCAAGTCGCCCCACGACCTACAACTGGGACTTCTGTTTTCATGCCACTTGCAAGTGGACCCTTGACTTGCAACCGGGTCTTTTATTTCATGCCACTTGTAAGTGGACCCTCGACTTGCAACTGTGTCTTCTTTTTTATGCCACTTGCAAGTAGACCCTCGACTTGCAACTGGGTCTTTTTGTTCGATGCTACTTGCAAGACCCTCGACTTGCAACTTGTCTTTTTTTATAATGCCCACTTGCAAGTCGAGCCTCGACTTGCGACTGGGTCTTCTGTTTTTCATGCCACTTGCAACTGGAAACTCGACTTGCAACTAGGTCTTTTTTGTTTGATCACACTTGCAAGTTGACCCTCAACTTGCAACTGGGTCTTCTTGTTTGATGCCACTTGCAAGTCGACCCTCAACTTACAACTGGGTCTTCTATTTTTGATGTCACTTGCAAGTGGACCCTCGACTTGCAACTAGGTCTTCTGTTTTCATCCCACTTGCAAGTGGACCCTCGACTTGCAACCGGGTCTTCTGTTTTCATCCCCTTGCAAGTGGACCCTCGACTTGCAAGTGGGGTCTTTTTGTTTGATGCCACTTGCAAGTGGGGTCTTTTTGTTTGATGCCACTTGCAAGTGGACCCTTGACTTGCAACCGTGTCTTTTTTTATGCCACTTGCAAGTGGACCCTCGACTTGTAACTGCGGTTTTTTGTTTGATACCACTTGCAAGTCGACCCTCGACTTGCAACTGGGTCTTCTGTTTTCATGCCACTTGCAAGTGGACCCTCGACTTGCAACTGAGTCTTTTTTGTTTGATGCCACTTGCAAGTCGACCCTCAGTTTTCAACTGGGTCTTCTTGTTTGATGCCACTTTGCAAGTCGACCCTCAACTTGCAACTGGGTCTTCTATTCTTGATGCCACTTGGAAGTGGACGCTCGACTTTGCGATCCAGTTACTTGTTTCATGCCACTTGCAAGCCGAGCCTCGACTTGCAACTAGGTCTTCTGTTTTCATACCACTTGCAAGTGGACCCTCTACTTGCTACTGGGTCTTTTTGTTTGATGCCACTTGCAAGTGGATCCTCGACTTGCAACCGCGTCTTCTATTTTTTTGATGCCACTCTCAAGTGGACCCTCGACTTGCAACCGGGTTCCTTTGTTTTTCATGCCACTTGCAAGTGGATCCTTGACTTGCAACTACTTCTTCTAATTTTTTTATGCCACTGGCAAGTGGACCCTCGACTTGCAACCGGTTCCTTTGTTTTTCATGCCACTTGCAAGTGGATCATCGACTTGCAACCAGGTCTTCTTTTTTTGATGCCACTTGCAAGTGGACCCTCGACGTGCAACCGAGTTCCTTTGTTTTTCATGCCACTTGCAAGTGGGCCATCGACTTGCAACTGCATCTTCTATTTTTTTGATGCCACTTGCAAGTGGACCCTCGACATGCAACCGGGTCTTCAATTTTCATGCCACTTGCAAGTGGATCCTCGACTTGCGAGTGGGTCTTTTTTGTTTGATGCCACTTGCAAGTCGACCCTCGACTTGCAACTGGGTCTTCTTGTTTGATGCCACTTGCAAGTCGAGGGTAAGTCGACCCTCGACTTGCAACTCGGTCTTTTTGTTAGATGCCACTTGCAAGTGGACCCCCTACTTGCAACCAGGTCTTTCTTTTTTTGATGCCACTTGCAAGTGGACCCTCGATTTGCAACTGGGTCTTTTGTTTTCATACCACTTTCAAGTGGACCCTCGACTTGTCACTGTGTCTTTTTATTTGATGCCACTTGCAAGTGCACCCTCGTCTTGCAACTGCGTCTTCTATTTTTTTTGATGCCACTTGCAAGTGGACCCTCGACTCGCAACCGGGTTCCTTTGTTTTTCATGCCACTTGTAAGTGGACCCTCGACTTGCAACCAGGTCTTCTTTCTTTATGCCACTTGCAAGTGGACCCTCGACTAGCACCGGGTTCCTTTGTTTTTGATGCCACTTGCAAGTGGACCCTCGACTTGCAACCAAATCTTCTTTTTTTGATGCCACTTGCAAGTAGACCCTCGACTTGCCACCGGGTCTTCTATTTTCATGCCACTTGCAAGTGGACCCTTGACTTGCAACTGGGTCTTCTGTTTTGATGCCACTTGCAAGTGGAGCCTGGAGGTGCAACCGGAATTGAATTGTTACTCACAACAGCCAGAGGATTTGATGTTATTCCAAACTGATGGACCGGATAGGCGAATGAGTAAGGTGGAAGCATCTGCAGAAAATTAGCTTAGTTGCCTTGCATTTGAGAAAGCTTCAGGTCAAATACCATTCCAGGGTACCGGGAGCGCGTAGGCTACGATCAAAACATACAAGTAAGTTTATCTTTGTTTTTGTCCTCAATCAGGTTTTTCTAAGCTGGATCACACCTGAGTACCAATGTAGTCTCCTGCATAGATATCTTCATTTCTGCAAAATGCAATGTTTCAATGAATCAAAACTATTGTTGGAATAGATATTCAAAAGGTTTATACTTGTGTTTTGTATGTGAAGACTGAAAGTTGTAGTTGCTTTCTTTTTTTTTTCAACGAAAGATTTTGATCAGATGTAGGCTACTATTTTTACATCGGTTGTAGCTGTCATCACTTGTATGGTGAAGACTGAAAGTTGAACCACAACCTGATACACACCATTTTTTTACCTTAAAACAAGCAAACCACCGTTATATGATCCTATTTCTTGCTTATCAGGTGTATGAACTTATTTATTTATTTTTCTGCCAACATGAAACAACACACTCTGATTTAGTCATCTAAGGAATTCTAACACAGATGATTGTAGTTAGTTTCAAAGATTTTTCTCTCTTTTTTTACTTGAGAATGGAGTGTTTCATTTACAAAATAAGCAATTTTTCCTAACAAGTTAAGTATGCTTTGTCATTTACTCCAGTCTGCAGATTTGTATGGATGGAACTATGAATGTGATTGATTATGGCCATTTCGTCATCATGCATTTCCCCCATTCAGAATATAAATTTCCTTCTCAACAATGTTTGTCTGCTCTGTTTTTAGCCCTGTATTTTTGATTGAGGGATCTTGAACTGATGACAGCCAACTGATGTGCGTTTTTCCTACACACCAGCCTCTGCTTGTTTCTCCCATCAACAGATGGAAAAAGAGAGAGGTGAAAAGTATCTACAGGGCCGTATAAGACCAACCTCTGTTTGTTTCTAAAGCTGCATAAACCCTGTCTGGGTTTTACTTTTCCAGCCACCAAAACTTCTTCTACAAGCAAGCAAGTGTTTTCTGCAGACAAACAAAGCCTGATCCTTTTTTTCTGTCAAACAAACAAACATGCAAAAAAAGCCCAAGAAACAAGGCCCAGGAGGCAGGGTAGTTGGGCTGGGTGGGTTTGGTGGGAGGGACAAAACAATACAAGCCAAAACATACAAACAAGTCCACGTGGAGGAGGGATCAAGAGCAAACAGTCTGTTTTGTTTGTCAACAAGGGCAGTTTTTAGAGGTGACGTCACATTTAGATGTGAGATATTATCTCACATCTAGACAGACCCTGGTTTCAACCAGAACAAACCCGAGAAAAAGTGTCTCCCACGAGTCGTAAAATCATACATTGTAGGTAAAACAAAATCAGAAAGACCATCGGATCTTAAATCCTTCGTCGCCACCTACGACGTGTCTCATTTTGGGTTCCGTCATTCCAAGCAGTGTCTAGAAAAGTGAACTGCATGGAAGAACGAGCCATCACTCGAACAACTATTGACCAGATTAGGACATTCAGGGTCAGTTTCGATTCTGTGTCTGGTAGCCCTGCCAATCATCGGCCGGCCATAATTTTGGCATATGATTCGGCTGCCAACAGACCGCCAATAATTTGGTTGCACATACTAAGAAGACTAGGCCTGTAAGGGTTCAATTTTTTTGGATTTTTCGGAATTTTTTTTACTGCCCTTGTTAGCACGACGCGTGTGCTCAAGAGTCTCTGGGCGTAGCTTTTTTTTTTACTGGCAAAGCATTTTACACGTTTGGATTTCTAGAGAGGTCGACCGCCGCTTTGAATGTCTAATCTGTCCCTTACAATGTCTGGTCTTCCTCCAATCGTGGGCCGCGTGGCACGGTTTTCACCACGTCGGTTTGCGAGATGTCTCGAGATCGTTCGTGGATCCATCCAGTCTATGGTCCCACCGCCTTTTCTCTTGTATAAATAAGGAGTCTCCCATCGCCCAACAGAAGATGAGCTCTCGTCCATGGCAAAGAGAAAGATGCAGAAAGAATGGTGTGCGTACAGAGCATGGGACGGTCGCAGCCGGGTACTCAAGGTGCCGGCGCTACTGGCTGACAAAGCCGCGCTATGCTGCACATGAGGAGGATTGGAGGAACACCCAATCAATCGGAGGGCGGGTGGGCTGAGCAGCCGGACGGCGCTGCCATGGGGGCAAGCGGTGAGCACGTGACATGTATCTGCCACTGCTGGCGAACGCTCCCGGCGCTGGAGACGGCCGTTCTTTTCCGCAGGTACGTGAAACCCAGCTGCATACACAACCTATCCCTCCAACCTCGCCCCATCTCTGTTGTGCTTCCTCGGTGGAACTCAGACCGTGGCATGCCATTCCTATCGCCGTCGTCACACCGATGGCCCGGGCGGGATCCGCCATCCCCACGGCCGGGCCCCTCCTCGGTGGGCGCCCCTCCCTCATCGCCGCCAACAACAGCGGAAGGTGCCGTGTCTGCACCGAGTGCCACGCCGTTTCCGACGTGGCGGAGCACAGCCACACGGCCAGGGCGCTCGGACTCCGCCCGCTCTTCGGCGCACCCTCCGGCTCAACCTGCGCGGTAGGCGGCTCCGGCGCAACGGCCCCCCGCGGAGTCGTCGTCGGGCGCTCGACCCGGGCGTCAACCCCGTGGACCACGCGGGAGCAGGATCCGCGGTCAGACCGTCCTCGCCGGGCGCCCGTTCGTGGCACACGGCCACGTTGCGGCCAGCCACAGCGGACGCCCTCGTCTCTCCAAGGAGTGCCACAACGTCGCCGACGCGGCAGGGCACGGCCTGGACGCTCGGGCTTGGGCTACCCCCGCTCCTTGGCGGCTCCACCTCTGTCGCGACGGGCAACTATGTTTTGTCTCTAATGCATGTTTGGCTAAAACCCTTCTATTTTTTGCAGAGCTCTCACAAATCAGTCAACCTACGAAGTGGCCAGATGGAAGGGGCTATTCTACTTGAGGTATGTGCTATCAAGAACAACGCAGGCTCCAGTGTGCTCTGATTTTATGATTCTTCACTACTATATTGTTAGACTTGGTACTGGAGCTGTACCACTTGCAGGGTAATTCTGGACAAAGCTCATCCATTCAGTAAATGCATATATAGAAACATCTGTGACTTCTGCCTCGCTATGGAATGAAGTTGCTCCCGAAGTCATGTGAGGCTAGAGATATAGTTTACTGTCCTATGATTTCAGCAATATACGACTGGAAGTAGGTTCCTGTGATTGAAACTGTACAGGGTGATTTCTCACGCTTCTGTATGAATGTGAATTCGAGCTGTGATTGTATGTCGCAGTCTACAGTTTTGCTCCTCTCTTTTCATAGCCAAGCACAGTTTGCTCTTTTAAGCCATTTGTGTTTGCATCGCCATTCAGATTTTCTGTGAACTCAATACCCTCCAATTTCTCATTCTTCTACTGTTCCGTTGTGCAATAACCTTTCAATCTATGTATTGCTTTATGAATTAGCAAAAAAAAAAAACTCTGGCTAGAGAAAGCTGCATGTATAATGATGCATATAGTTAGTCATGGCAAAAAATATATATTTAGTTGCCACTGTATTGTTACATGTGAACCGCAACAAAACAGATACTGCAAACAAGAACATATTCACACCTCTTCTGCTGGTGTTCTATCACATATCAACGGTGAACACTAGGATCGATTGCGTTTATTATATGATATGTAATGTAAGCAGGCTTATACAATTTGTGTGTTTCTGTTGATGTAGCTTACCTTGACAGGGGAGGAAAGCATGACGGCCGTCTTTGTCAGGCTCACTGTGCAGAAGCTCTTGATGAAGCACAAAACGTCCCATGTCGAACCGCGGGCCGACATGGTGTGAGAATTGCAGTTAGCTGAAAAATGGGGATTAGACACATGGAGATGTAGCACTTGGGTGAGTAGGTACCTGCACGGCTTGTGAATGGTCTGAAATCTGAACCGTGAACCTCTCATGGGGACTTGCCGCGCCTAGCTAGCTCTGACCGCCGCCACTCCCCAATGGTGAGCATGTCGGAGATCCCGCCACCACCACGCCCTACCTTGCCGCTTCCTCTTCTCCTCCGGCTTTGGCGGCCTCACTTGCAAGCGAGGAGCACTCGATTGCTTCTTCTCCTCTGCCTCACGCGGCCTCGCTTCCTCCTATTCTTCTGAGCTCATGACATTGTCTGCCGGCTTCTCCCTCTCTAAGCCACCCTCTACCTCGAGACAACCACGTACCTCGCCGAGGCGTGCTGCGCAGGTGAGGACCACTCAATTCCTACTCCGGGCTGAGAGGAGACGCAGGAGCCATGGCGAGGGGCGGCGTTGAGCCGGCAATGCAAGGAACAAATGAGCTAGGGAGAACGGGGAATGGTGGAGGTGGGGAATAGGCAGGGAGATTCGAGAAGCTACACAGATTCGGGAATAGTGGATCTCAGTCCACAGCCACACCACCGCTCGGTGCAGTCCAAGTGCAGCTAGCTAGGCACACACCATGAGAAGATGTGCGGTCTCCCCTCACAAAAAAAAAGAGAAGATGTGCGGTCAGGACTGTGCCGCGTGCGGAAGGGTCTGACCGAACGTCAGCGCAATAGCGTCAGTTTTTTTTTATTTTGCAATATATAGAGCATGCGGAAAAAAGGTAAGATAATCTAGAGCACAAAAGAACGAGAACAATCGTATGGAATATTGATGGTTACATTTATTCTCATGTAAGTTAGCTTTGAGAAAATTTGACATATTGTAGCAGTCGAGGTTTGTGAAGTCTTAACCACTGCCCAAGATATTTGTTTTACCATTTTGTAATCAAGTTAGAAATATTTAAAATATACTACATTCTTCCGTGGCCTTTTACCATCACATCTACATTTCAATTGACAGGAACTTCTGTAGTTGCATATGATTTTGTGTATATAGCGTAAAGTTTCAAAACAAACTGCAGTTGTATACGATTTTGTGTATATCTCGTAAAGTTTCACAACGAAATTCATGAAAACTAGCACAGAGTTTTAGAACAAAATTCATCTAACAACTTAAAAACTATCAGCGAAACCCAGCTGAAGGATCAACATCTCTGGTCTAAGAAGAGAACAAGAGCTTCGCAATTCTGCGTAGTGAAGCACAGGTGAAGGATCAACATCTCTGGCCTAAGAAGAGAACAAGAGCTTCGCAATTCTGTGTCCAGACATCACATATGCATATACCAACTGGATGTACCTTCTCCTTGCATGAACTACTTTGCCATGAATCGGGTCTTGGGACAACTTACCAAATAATACAAAAATACCCGCTAGTTGAATAGGACGAGCTGATTGGCATTCGACGAGACAGAAAATGGGAACCCAGCCGAATAGCCGCCCTCACTTCGGTCAATGCCAAATATTTGGCCCGACAGATCATGGTGCGATCTAGACAACCTCTCAGAACCATGAAGCCTGGATACTGCAATCGAAACAACCCCTCGGAACCATCAAGCCTGAAGACCACTAAGCATCCACGTTTGCCTCCCATCCAGTATTGGAAAGGCGTCAAATGAGATTCGTCTACATCCAACGGGACATGACGTCGAGGTGCAGTGAGCAAGGCGAGGGGATAGAGTGGGTTGCTGAGGGTGCAGGTGGAGAGAGAAACCAGTGGAGCTCTCAAACCTCTCTCAAATCTAGGGGAGAAATGAGGTTTGGAGTGTCTGAACAAGATGGAAGACTGGATGGCAGGTTTATCAGACGAACACATTTGAAAAATAATAGGGCTTAGATGCGCTCACGGGGCTACGCGTAATACATAGAGTCAATTGTTGACGCTGCATTTTTTTAAAGCCCTTTTGGAGTATCTTTAATATTAAAGGGGAATTAATGTGTCTGATGTCTCGCCTTCAGGTTTACTCCCTCCGTCTCCCCGACCTTAGGTTTTCCTCTTCATGCCTTCCTTGGTTTGGACTAATCTAAATCAAGTGGGTACTTTTCTATCCTTGGTCTACTAGAAAACCATGTCCTGCATTTACTTAGTAGAATCTTACCAAAACAACATTCATTAATCAAATCAAATCTTACCAAACCTCCACTAAATAAAAACTTCACATTCCCCTATGTATACCCAAATCAAATCAAATTTTAACAAAACCTTACCTAAATCAAATCCTTCCTTGTCTACCTCTACCCATAAATCAAAACTAATCTAACAAAATCTAGGTTTCTGTGGGTGTAAGGTATATGTCGGACACGATTAGTGTTGAACCATTAAAACCAGTACAATGCCCGTGCGTTGCCACGGGCATTTGAAATATTTTCTTGGAGTTCTATATATAAATATAATGCATGTTAAATTTCATATGTATCGTAAAAATAGCAACAATGGTAATAATTGAAAACTAATTTTCTACGTGGGAAACTTTCAATCTATTCATCTTTAAACATGGTAGTATGAAGAACATCAGAGATAATAGAAATTACAAACCACCTAGCGACGACTACATACACTGGAGCGACACGAAGGTGTGCCGCTGTTATCACCCCTCCCTCGCTGGAGCCGCGCAAACCTTATTATAGTTGACAGTCGAGAAGTCATTGTGCTAAGGCCACATAGCACAAGGGCACAAGAGCAACAAGCATCGCCCGATGAAGAAAGTCGTAGATCGGAAGAATCAAACTTGTAAACATCCAAATGAAGATGAACACAGCGCCGCCGTCATCGCCCCTCCCTCGCTTGAGCCGCTCAAACCTTATTATAGTCGACAGTCGAGAAGTCGTCGTGCTAAGGCCACATAGCACAAGGGCACCAGAGCAACAACCATCGCTCGATGAAGAAAGTCATAGAACGGAAGAATCAAACCTATAAACATCCAAATGAAGATGAACACATACCAGATCCAAAAAGATCCACCAAAGACCTGCACCGACCGAATCCCGTGAGATCCGATGGAGACACACCTCCGTGCGCCCTCCGACGATGCTAGACGCACCACCGGGATATGGATAGAACATGGGAGACATTATTCCTACCGAGGAACATCGCCGCGGCACACAGTCCCAACCAAGACTATGAACCTAACAAGAACGAGAATGAGATCCGTCCCGCCGGCGTGGGGCCGAGGTCCTTCACAACTCCATGGCCCAAAAGACCATCGGAGACGGGGTGGATCGGCGGCGGCGCCGACAGGAGGAAGAGGAAAGCTTGAGATCTTTTCTGTGGAAGAGGAAAGAGAAGACAAAGTTCATTTCTTGTTATAACTGGCAGCAGCACCGATCATAATCACAATAATTTAAATCTACTAAACTTACAATGTAAGTTGATAGAGAAAAGTAATTTGACGATGTATACATAGAGAGTGAAGATCCAACTAATAATTTGTTATGAATTAAGATCTACTTGACATGTATAAGATATTCTCGCGCAATATCAGGAATGTTGTCTTTAGCTTCATTTGCATGATATTTGAGCAAGTATAATAGAACTTCCTTCTCAACTGATAACCATCCTGCACAGGCAATATATGTAGTTAGCATTAATATTTCACGTGGAAGATCTAAAAATGTGCAACGAGAATACCCACCTTGCAAACCGAACGAAGCAATTCTTCATCGTTCCATGAGAGCACGAAATCAAAAACAAAATAGCCAGGTACATCCTTGTAATTGAATTAATTAATAATATCTAGACTCTTGTCTAAAGTTCAACGCTTCTCAAGTCTCAGTAACTATTTTATATGAAAAATAGAGTAGAGTTTGAGGCAAACAAAAGTTATATAAAGAGGACCAAAAATAAAGGATAGATCTTTAACACCAGCTTGAAATCCAACACCTGCTTTACTTTATGTTTCTGGTTACAACAGCAGCAAGGTCACTCCGTTTGACCGAGCATCAACTGAGGCCAATAATTGAATCT